TGTTGTTGTTGTTGTTGTTGTTGTTGTTGTTGTTGTTGTTGTTGTTGATGTGTCATCCTTCAGAATTTGGCCTTCCTCTACCTTCAAACTCGACCTGACTTCATCCGCCATGGACGAACACAAGCAAGAGGTCAACGAAGAGGACAAGCTCAACCAGATGCAGGATGCATTCTTAGGTATGCTCGCCGACGCACCGACGCCTGCGAGACAAACCACCTCGGCCAAGAAGATCAAAACAGGACACCCGGAAGTGTCGAGAGGACGTCGTGCCTTGATGACAACGACGCCAGACAACTCAACTCCAGCCGACCAGGTCCCGCAGCTCTGCAGGATGTTAGCAGTCATCTCCTTGTGGCACGAGGACGCATTGAATGCGCTAGCTTGCCAGGATCAGAGTATCCTGTTCCTCACCCATGGAACTCAGGGCATGACACAGCTCCTGATCCAAGCAGCCCAGGACTGGAAAGAACAAGTGACCAACACCTCTCCTCTCAGGGTAGTCCTGATGCGGACTCTCATGGAAGAACTGATGCGGAGATTCAAAAGTTTCTGCACGAAGCTCTCCGACCCGGAATTTCGCCGCAGCAGCATTCAGACCAAGGTCATCCTGGAGGACGGGACGATTCCCTATCTTCAATGGTGCCACCAGCAGAAATGTCTTCTGCCCGCTCAGACACAAGGGATTTCGACCACCGAGATGGACCAGAAGCTCCAACGGCTTCATGTGGCACTCCAAGAACCTACCAACCTGATCCGCTTCTTTGCTCTCAAGAGCCAAGGGAACACGACCGGGGTAACGCCCTGGAAAATCCAGCTGGCCATGAGGAACGACCCATTGATGTGCGAGATGAAAGCACTCCACGGATCTGCAATTTGGATGCTTGTGGCCGGAAGATTGAAAGCTCATTCACAACAACGATCGAGAGCTGCACAAGAACTTCAGGACATAGCATACCCCCGCCGTCCAGGGAACCGCCGCCACTGAGAGACATTCTCTGTGGAGCTCTTTTGGGAGCGCAGCTGATCAACGACAGTTGCTGGTGCTGGGCCAATGCTGGCCTCTTATGCACCCTGTGGGCACTGCTGGGTCGATCCAGCTTTTCTCTTGATGACTTTGGCTCTCAGCTTAGACCTGTCCGAGCCTTTCTTCATCGCCTTCAGACCATGCCGGGGACAAGCGTGGCCTTTTCGTTCCCTGACCTTCTCAGTCATGCGGCTCAGAAGTGTATGCCTCGAGATGTTGGGGAGTTCGTTTCTGAACTTGTGGACTGGCTTGAAACTCAAGCCATTTCCATGACATGGGAAAGACGATTTCTGGCAGGTTCAAAAGTCGAGCGCACTGAGGCTGGCACATGGCAACACCCCATAGCACTGGACTGTTTGTATGAGTTGGACATCCCTACACCGACCATGACACAACTCCTGCAGCCCTGGATACATGCAGAGTCGATGCGATCCGCTTTCACTTCGGTTGGCACTCTGAAATGCATTTACATTGACAGATCTGTCATGCTGATGCCTGCCCTAGGTCATCACAATTTGATTGAGCTGGAGGACGAGCTCTCCTTGCCCTTCTTCACGGATGCCAGGACCATTGACCTGACATGGATTCCCCACGTGCCTGTTTCAGGTGTAGTGCACTTAGGCAGCAGGACATCTGGACACTTCATTACCTTTCTGAGAGCGTGGAATCTGCCCTGCTGGTATGAGCTTGATGATGCCAAGCAGGCCCAGGTGCACACAGCCCTGCCACAATGGGCAAAAGAGCGACTTGTCTTGGTTTGGTATTGCCCGGCCACCGCCGTGCCTGACTCATCATTTCCGATGGCAGCTGATCTTGCAGCACCTGTGCTGGACACCCTGGGTCCCTTGGCTCTGGAAGACACCACTATGACTCAGGAGTCGACCTTGTCCGAAGCGGATGATCCTGATGACTTAGGCGATGCACTTAGGACTGATCCCTGGCCCTCTGTACCTGCCACTTGGACAGAACAGACACCACATGCAGATCAGCGGCGCCTGGAGCAGCTGCTGGCGCGTATCACTGATGCGCTGACGCCGGCTGCCACCTCGTCCAATGAGCACCTGAACCTGCCGGGCCGCTGCTGATGGCCGCTGCTTCGACCGCCGCTGGTGAGAGATCGAGCCTTGTCAGCCCCAGTGAAGGACTGAGGCAAGCAGGTTGTTCCTGCTCACTGAACTTTCCATGTCGGCACCAATTGCCGAATTTTGTTTGATGATGGAATTGAATTTTGAATGTAGCACATGTCATGGCCTAGGGCCAAGCAAAAGGTTGAAGCCTGCTGAACTTTTGGCCACGGCCCGTTCAGCTTGATGTAATCCAAATGTACTCCAATGGAGTCCGCCGGCCATGAGTGCCCGCGAACGGCTGCGCAACCTCCTTGGGCGCGTGAGAAGAAGAAGAAGAAGTTGTTGTTGTTGTTGTTGTTGTTTTTTCTTTGCTTTTTCACCTGATGGTGAGGATTCTAGAGGCTGATCATTGGGGAGAGGAGAGTTGAGGTCTGACAGAACTCGCGGAGAGGAAGTTGCATGGCCGGTGCTTTCTTTTTTCAGGAAGAGATGTCTTGACTGACTGTTTTCGACCCACAAAGTTTTTCTGTCCTTCCCGTCCTCCCGCTCTTGGGAGCGCCAGGAAGAGCCACGAGACAGTGATGGCTCGACAGGCGCGGTGTTTCTGGCGGAACTCGGCGGAAACTGGGCGGAACACGGATGGGGTTGGGGCTCGTTTTCTCGGTGGACCCCCACGGTGTTTCTGGTGGAACATCCTTTGATTCCCGCTCCAGCGGCGCACTCGTGAAGCGTTTTCGGCGTCTTTCGTGTGGAAAACGTCCACCAAAGCCCACGTGGCTTCATTTTTGGGTTCTCACCCACAAACCTTGGGACCCAAGGAACGCGCTGTGTGCTCCAACGTTTCGCCAGGCTGCAACTCCAGTCCTGGGGCTGCCACCCAGGTGAGCCCGGCACAAGTCATTGGCAAGTGGTGAAAGGAAGGGAAGTCACTGTACAACCCGCAATAGTAGGGTCAAAGACCAACTCTCAATGTGCATTTGTCAAGGGAGAAACTCAAGGATAGACCGTAGTCTACATGTTGAACACATGCAGTCTGTATGGCAAAAAAGACATGCAAAGCCAGCTCCCCAAAGTCCACTGCCAGCCTCTGCTGTGACTCACTGCACAGGCGAGCGTCGAAGCCTTTGGCGTTTTGCCAGGTGCGGGTGGCCGGACTTGGGCGCGAGGACACGACCATCGGCCGGTCACGGAGCGCAACAGGAACGGGCGACGGAAACGGGGAACCAACACCACTGATGCACTGATGCGGTTGTGGGTGGTGGAGGGCTTTCGGCCTCCAATTGATGAGACTGTGACGAATCTGGTTGGAGCAAAGCAGAAGGATCTTGGGAAAGTTCCTGTTTTTGCACGGAAAGTGAGGCCTGGCTGTGCTGCCCACCGGCCGCCCAGGCGACGAACCCTCCAAGCGTCAGGAGCGACCTGCCGCAGAGCCGCTGCTGGTGATTTCCTGGCAGTCCATTTGAGATTAGGATAATCTATATGATGTTTTTTTACTATTTGTTTTTAAAGACAAGCTACAGTTACAACAACCATAAAACTATAGGCAGTCATTGAGACTCAGACCCCGGCTGCAGTGAGGCAGTCAGTCCAACATATATGCAACTGCTCATATCCCTCAGTTTTTTGTTTAATATGGGTTTTGTATGGTCTTGTTGTTTTGCATACATTTGCATACTATTGAGTTTGCAGGTTCACTTCCACCGTATGATGGTGTGGTCCGTAATTCTTAAGTGGTACTCGGAGAACCCAACGGTGCTGAGTTGAGATTCTGGCATTCTGTCCTACAGCTCTATCAAATAACGAGCTGTCTCGTCTCTCCTCCGCCTCTCAACGTCACCGGTTTGTGGATTTGAGCTCGGCCATGCTCACCAGAGCGAGGTTTTCGACCCCAACTGATCCTTTCTTCT